CAAAAAATGACTCGCCTAAGGTCACAATGATAGAGTAGGCAGTCAGTCAGATACAAGCAGGGAACAAGTGCTTTCCTACTGATAAAAGGGCTGAAACCAAATACCAAGCAGCAGGGACCGGGACCGGACCCCAGGGGATCCACATGTATTCTCCCCTCTGGTCACAGCCCTACAGTAACCAATAGCTTCATTATACAAGTTACAGTGGATAAATCACAGAGCAGATTTGAAAACACGTATTCTTTTTCCTTCCGGAGCCCACGCTTTGTTTTTTTCATCTGTTACCACTAACTTGCATAAAAAAATATTAGAATATCACAGATGAGATGATCAGTAATTGCTTAATGGATAAAGAAATAAATGAACAAATGAAAGGTAACAAAGACACGTAAATGCCTTAGGGAAAATAAAAAGCTAAATGCAACAGAACAAAAGGGGAATCCCTTGTTTAAACCTCGTAGTTTTCTAAATAAAGCAGAAATCAAGAAATTCTAGAACCACGAGAGACCTCAAGGGGTCCTTCAGATAGGGACACTACTCAAGAGACTTGACGAATGGAAAAAAGTTACCAGAAATTCCCCTCTTAAAAACATTCCTCAAATTAACAAAAAGAACCAAACAAAACCCCCAGTGTTTCACGCCTAAATGATTACGGTATTCCCAAAGCTTCCAGGAGCCGAGATTAAAACCTTTCTTTGGGATCTTGCGTCAGGATTTAAATATGTCTTCCAACAGGAGGTTCCTCATTGTAGCTAAAAAACATCTTAACAATTTAAGCCCATCTTCTCCATTTCTGTCTGTATGGAAATGGGACACACCAATGGGAAATACCAATCAACCTCCAGGAGATAATTCACCCATCTACAGACAGATCCCGGCCTTCCCTACCTTCCTAACAACACTTCATTGTAGACAACAATCAAATGTGTTATTCAGTCCCCAGCCCTGCTCCCCTCGCCCTTGCTGGTCACAATCTCATCTATAACCTCCAGTGCTCTCAGCTACAAAGGGAAGGCTATAGGGATGGGTTTTTTTTCTCCGCAACTGCTACAAAGAATAGCTCTTGGGGGAAGCTACAGGTTAGAAAGACTCAAGATGTGGAAACTTAGGATGTAGCATTGCCCAGAATATTCAGCTGCATTGTGCTTACAAGTTATGTGGATTCTGGTACAACCATCTGTTCAGCAGAGGCTGGCGTGGCATTTGCATTGTTTCTATGGCCCACCAACTCCAGCCACCAGGCCAGAAGAGGAGTTTTCCAGTGTTTCCACGCAAGGATAGGGAGAGTCAAAGCAAAGGAGTTGCCTTTGTGTGGTTATAGATTCTGGTTTCAGTTAAATACATCAACAGTGAGCTTACTGAATTAAGGCCAAGACAAGTATCTCCCAGGTCACAGGTTTGACCTTGATCGATACAGAACTGTTCTGGCTTGTTTATATAGAGACAGCCATGCAGTATTCCAATCATGTCAACTTTTATTTATAAACCACTTAATTATATTGGGTATATTTTATCTTGCTTCTGGGTCCTCTAAATATTCTTACATCTTTTCTATCTTGTTAGAAACAACAGTAGGAACGTGAGTGGGATAATCATTCGACCTTCCCGTGGAATGGTCACATACAAAGGATGATGGTGCTATCACTATTAAAGTATGCTAGTTATACTTGCTAGTCACATTTGATGTGGTTCTCTCATATAACCAACTTCTCTTTATTTATGAAAGGGCCCAACAGTCATAAATGCTTTTATGGGGAGGAAGGGAAAAAATATTTATTTTAAATCATAATATCGCTAAAAGTAGACTTCCCTTTGTTTCATTTTCCATCTGCATGCGTCACTTTTCAAAGTCTAACCCCAGAAAGGAGAAGGACTTGGGACAGTGAACCCGAGGATTAATACGCCCAACTTGCCGAACTCATGATTCACAACGAGAGGAAAATATGAACACACTAATAAAAATAGCAAGATGGAAACTTTTCAGTAGATAGGATGTTCAGTGAACACTCTAAATTCATAACCTATTTTACTATCAAAATGCCTATGGTTTTATGAAAGCATGAACAGTTTATGAAGACAGTAAGATGACTAATGGAGAATATTCTTTGCTTTCTATTGGGAACTTTTGTTTGCTTCTAACTGTTTAATTTCTCCTCCGTCTCTCTTTCAATTAACCTCCCTGTTTGTATTCAATGAGATGGCACATGATATGGAGAAAGAAAAAAAAAACCTTGCTGATTTATGAGTATTCTTTCATAAAGTGGCAGCTTCTTTTAGCCAGATGTGTAAGTGCTGAAAATGAGAGGGAAATGCACAGCAGAGTAACATATCCCAAATGAGAAAACGTACTGCAGTTTCCCGGGTTGTTTAAATCAGTGGCTCACAAAGGCCTCTTTTTTTTTTTTAATTTTTTTTTTTTCAACGTTTATTTATTTTTGGGACAGAGAGAGACAGAGCATGAACGGGGGAGGGGCAGAGAGAGAGGGAGACACAGAATCGGAAACAGGCTCCAGGCTCCGAGCCATCAGCCCAGAGCCCGACGCGGGGCTCGAACTCACGGACCGCGAGATCGTGACCTGGCTGAAGTCGGACGCTTAACCGACTGCGCCACCCAGGCGCCCCTGAAGATTCATTTTTAAATGAGGTAGGTCCTTTACTTCCACATTGTTACTCACACGGACTACAAACGAAACAAAATGACATAAAACAACAGAAAATGGAACTGTTAACAACCGTAACAAGATATGCTACATTATACTACAAAGAGCTGCGACTAACAGCAACCTCACGTGTTCCCAGATAACTGAAAAACTGTTCAAGGACCGCTCATCTGTGGGGAACTAACCGCGTACTATATGACCAAAGTCAGTGAGGACACCAAGAGAATGACTTACTTAGTAACCGTTGGTTAGCACGTTAAATTTGCCTATGGAAAACCTTATAGTATACTGCTAGGTTTTCCAAGCTATATATTCATGCCTAGGATACATTCAGTCAAACGTATAACATTTCCCCCCCCAACTAGAATCAATTCACTTCTTATGGGTATGGGGGTGGTGGGGTCATAACACCTGATGGACTGTGATTAGAGGCCTATTTCTCCTGCCCTGCCTCTGGTAGATGGGCATTCTGGGATTTGGGCACAGCGCTGTTTGGTCGCAGGGGTACAAATTATTCTCTGTATGTCCACAGAAAGACCCACAAATTGTGGGGTCAACGGTTTGCTGCTTTAATATAGTTCACAAATGTAGTTCACACAAACGACAGGCAGCCATTGCCCCAGAAGCCTCTCTTGAAGAGTAGAGGAGGGGAAAGCCGTATCAAGTTGGTGGAGATAAGCACTCTGGGCACTCACAGCGTTCCTCCGTGGGGACTCGATGCTCCCCGGGATGTAGGTAGGAAGCTCACATTCCACAAGTGAGCCGCTAAGGGTGTTTCCCAGGTAAACGTTAACACCACAGGCCTGATCTGGAGATCCTTGGCAGGCATTTGGAAAACTGGACGTTCTCTACAGTGCTTTTGCCTACCAGGAGAATCTCTTCTTCTGAGAATCTGGAATTTTGGTGGTTGCGGCTGACAGAGGCTACCTCTTGGAGCGGCCCTGTTAAAAACCTCTCAGTCTCAAATGCGCTACCCTCCACAGAAGCACGTGTTCCTTGCACACGTGTTGGTGTAGTTCAGTGCTGGAGAAAGGTCCATGCTCCGTGTGACCTCTCCTGGTGGGAGAGAAAGAACACAGGAGGCCTGTGCATGGACTTCTCCAGACACCACCTGATGGCGACGGGTCATTTCCCTTTCGGATAACTATTATGGTCATGAGCACAAGTGCCCCGAGTCCTGGGAGCCCTTCTGTGGATCATCACCTGTGGGGGTGAGGGGATCACCACCCTTAAAACAGATGACAGGAATGTCAGTAAGACTGGAAAAAACCTTACTTGAAGTTCCGTAAAGATACAACTGTGACAATTTATAAAATTATGTGATTTCAACTTTCCCGTGAAAAATTTCCTAGCTAGCCAATTCCTGTAAGCAAGAAAATAAAGTACATGATACTTGTAGCTGCACTGGAAGAAGAAATTTTTTAAGATATTGGGACTCCCTCCAGTTAGCAAATTACACCCTATGGACATAAAACACCATACCTCAAGTTATGCAAATTATGACATTTTTGTAAGGCTGTATCATTTAGAGCTAATATGGTACACTTCCACTGAAGGAAGATAGGCATTTATTACTTACGTTTGTTATATTTTCTTTAATTAAATGTTTTAAGTTCAGTGACTCAAATGGTAAAAAGCAAAGGCACCGAAAACCTTGAAAATATGGTACTATGTATGTTCTGGATAATTCTGAATCCACCCTAGCTATCATTTATGTACCAACATTTGGATCTTAAACACCTATTTGCTTTATTTAACCCACAGAGGTTCACGAACATCATCATATTTGAAAAGTATCAGCATGTAACTTTAAGAACAGCTAGACTCGTGCCTTTCATTCTACTTTATTTCTTGGCCTGCTGCAAAATAAAGCCATAGAAAGTCAAACCGCTTTTTGAGAGACTCAAGTATTATCGACAGGTGCTAAAATGCGTGGGGCTGCCCGTGTTTGGCATCTTTTTTTAAAGTAAAAAATACTGCTGTTATGCAATGGCACCATGGAACGCTGAGACGTAATATTCAACGGAGGCGTGTTCATAAAAAAGAAATGAAATCATCTGCAGGTGAATCAATTTTTGTAGCCATCACAAACCACCAAATTCTTATACCTCATGCTTGTGACGGCTGTTCTAAAAAGAACCGAATGGCCGTTGTAACACGAGGCCTGATGTGAAGAAGCAATTCTTTTTTTTTTTTTTCCAGAAAGACGAATTAAAATTAATTAGAGGAAATCAGCTTGTGCAAGTAGGGAAACAGCCAGGAACCAGGGCGTTCCCTCCGGTTGCGCGCGCAGGGCTGGCGGGGGGCGGGGCTGGGGGCGGGGCGAGGGGCGGGGCCTACCGATGGTGCAGTGCTCGCCGTTCCAGCCCTGGCTGCATTCGCACTTGCCATCCTTGCACGTGCCGTGCTCGGCGCAGCGCGGGTGGCAGGCTCTTTGACTGCAGGCTGCGCCCGTCCAGCCCTCTTCACAGCGACAGGTGCCCCCCATGCACACCCCGTGCGAGCCGCAGTCCACGGAACAGATTTCTGTGTTGAAAAAGAGGAAAGAGAGCAGGGGAGGAGGGCGGCGGGGAGAAGGAGAATGAATAAGCAGGGCTACGTCTTAAAAACAAAACCAGTGAAGATAAATACAAAGGATTTACATACTGAGCACATTTTAGCATCGACTAGTAAGCATTATAAATGGTAAAAATGCACTTTTAAAATTCATCATTTCGTTTAATACGCTGCTGTAATCGTGCATAAAATACCCATGACAATTTTGTTATGAATCATTTCCTATACTGTATGTGTAAACATGGAGGCTACTAACAAAACGGAACACGTGATTCATAGCGAGAGGAAAATACACACACGTAATGTATCCCACAGGGTCTTCTGGCCGTGGAGAAGCCATGCACACAAACACATACATCAAATTAATATAAAATTAATGAAATATTTCAGTGTCTCGGCAGGAGTTGGGTTTCACCCGTAGAGCAAGAATTGCAAAGGGGTTATTTCTAACTCTATGGTTCAGATTTCTAAAATATTCAGAAACTTTTATTAAAAAGAATCTTTTGTGGTTTGCACATTGGCTTGCTTCTGACACACACACATGCTGGTTGAGTAAAAGAAATTGTTGTTTTTCCTATCCAGTAAACTGGTACTATTGCCAGAGACGAACGATAATAGAAAACCAGTTTAAAAATGTATGTGGCTACTGACTCTGTCACTGCACAAGCTAGGTTTTTCAGATATCAGAATAACTGAAAGTTACCAAAGGGCTTCAAAACCATAATAGGTTCCATCGTTAAACAGAATCGTGTCTAAAGTCATTTTTTTCTTCAAAACCTTTCTTAAAAGCTTATTTGATTAGACACACACACAGAAAGAAAACTTTGAAGGGTATTTTATATTCTACTTTTTACATGTAAAGTTCAATAAAATCAACTACCGCTTTTTTCTATGATTGTAAGACCGTCGTTTGGTTTTGCTTTTCTTGCAAAGATAACAATGCTGAACAATAAAAACCTGCAATCATTTCAAACAAAGAGGAAATAGACTACAGCCTTATTTTTAAATTAAAAACCAGTAACTGTTTATGTGGCCACATGTTCGTTCCTATTTCCCCCACTCACTGCCCAAATAACATTTCTCAGACACTGTAATTCTGTCTCTCAGTCCTGCAGAATCTTAAACAGCATATCAAGGCACTGTGAGAGTTGTAACATTTCTTATAAACAACAGCCAGGACTGTTCACTGGAAGAGAGTGGGGTATGTTTTTTTCAAGCCACATTTTTCATCTCGTTTGAATTAAATTTTTGATTAAGAGATCCAAGATGGTTTGATTAACTTCAGACGAACAGAACGTCAACTCTGCTCCAGAAGAGAGAGGTTTCTTTCTGAGGTACCCCTTTTATTCAATCTAATCAATTTTTCATTAGGGCGAAGGTGTTTATCAGCGTTTAGCACACTAGCTTTGAGCAAGGTGCGTCAATCTTTGTAATGAACTTATTAATTAGAGTTAATTTAATTGAAGTGGAATTGAAGGGCTAATTAATGGACAAACTGCTGATGAGGAGAGAGGAAAACTCGGTTGCTTTCAAACCTATAAACTTTCTGATGGAAATAATTCATTTCTTCTCTTGTAGCAGCTTAACCAAATGTTTCTGCAGCTGCAGAATCTACTCTTATTGAATTTAGAGATCCGAAGGTCATTTCTACAACAACAAAAGAAGTAGCTGGTAAAGTGTTCTGCCTTGGGATTCAGTTAGTTAGAAATTCCCAATAATGCTGCTGGTCAACTTCCAGCCACAAGTGTAAGTTACCTACAATGTGTTTGTAAACTTTAGATGGCAACTGTGGAACACGCAGATAAATTTCCCGCACAGGAACCAGGATATTTTCACAGGATGAATAGATGCATGTTTCATTACTGATAATTCTTCTAAGTTTTCTGTCTTTTTCCAGCTAATAGCAAAGTTGAATAAAGTCTTTTTTTTTTTTTTTTCCGGAGCGTAATTAATTTATTCCAAAGAAGAGCACTGTATTCATTATCCAACTCTATACATTGAGAGTTTAATATGTTTTTTTGGTTTTTCACTGGGGGTGTAAAGATGCAATGGGACAAAGATCTTCACCCACTATGTCTCATCAGTCATTTTGTACATGGCTACCATTAGATTTTCAACTGGCAAAATGATTATATAAGCACGGGAAAAAAAATCAGTCTAAATATGTAAAATAATGACAGGTGCTTTTGGCAGCCAATTTCATCTCCAAATTAACATCTATTACCTTTTTTTTTTTTTTTTTTTTTTTTTTTTTTTTTTTTTTTTTTGCTATTCATAGCAATATCACAGAATTACCTTACTTTATTTTTTAAACTTTTTTTCAGTAACCTTTACACCCAATGTGGGGCTCGAACTCACGACCCCAAGATCAACAGTCACACGCTCCACTGACTCAGCCAGCCAGGGGCCAAAGACTGAATTATCTTTTGAGCTATAGTATCCATTACAAACCCTCCTTTATAAAATAATTCAGGTTAACGTGTTCAATAACATTATCTGAAACAAATAGGGCTGTTTCACCATTCCTTTCCTACTTGGGTAATTGTGGGAGACAAATTAGAATGACAATTTTCAAACAAGTATTATTTTCTAGCTAGTATTCGTATGCTTATTTTACTGATGGAGGCATAAGAGACCTGAACCAAGTAGCTTTACTATAAAAATAACTGTATCTATAAACTTTAATTGGATTTTTCTGAGTGTGGGATGCATTTTTTATTTATTTATTTATTTATTTTTAAATTTTTTTTTCAACGTTTATTTATTTATTTTTGGGACAGAGAGAGACAGCATGAACGGGGGAGGGGCAGAGAGAGAGGGAGACACAGAATCGGAAACAGGCTCCAGGCTCCGAGCCATCAGCCCAGAGCCCGACGCGGGGCTCGAACTCACGGACCGCGAGATCGTGACCTGGCTGAAGTCGGACGCTTAACCGACTGCGCCACCCAGGCGCCCCGTGGGATGCATTTTTTAACACAGAAGCCAGGAAGGGAAACAAACACTGAACAGAAAAATTAAATGCTTATTTTGATTCTTATGATTATAAAAAAAATATGTTTTTTAAGAACAAAGGACAGAACAAGTTAATGTGTTATTTAAATAATGCCTTGCACCTATGCTTCCTAATGTTGGGTGGTGATGATTTCCTAAAACTCTTTAGTGAGGCACTGAGGGTTCTCTATAATCCCACCCCCAGGTTATGTTTTGCTCTCATTTGTCCTGGACGTGTTATTTGGTCTACGGTCATGAATTTTCAAACCAGTTTTTGCTTCTCCCAGCTATCTGAATCAACTCCTATTTCCACGAAGCAGTGACGAACATAAACCTCTGTCTGCCTCCAAAAACGTATGGCCCAGAGATGAGGGAGGTAGAGGAAAAGGAAAGAAGAGAGAGACCGGATGGGGGAGGAGGAGCAAGTGAGCTGCGGGAAGAAGAAAGGTTGGGGGAAAATGAGAGAGAGACAGTACAAGGAAGAAAAGGCATGAAGTTGTCCCTTTGTCCCTTTACCCAGGGTATCTGCTCAAGGCTTCAACAGAAGTCTTTCATCAGAATTACGACTTAGCCTGGACACAACTTTGTTTAGTGTGGGCTTCCGGGATTCAGTTTGTAGCAGGTGAGGAATGGCGCACGAATGTGTCGTGTTGCTGAGGATTCCCAGGGTAGCAGCCATGTCACCCGAGTTTCTCAAAGTGCCAAGAAAGAGTGATCTGTAAAAATTACTAGCCTTTTTTTCCCTTAAAATAAGCACGTTAATTCGCTGCGTAGCGGGGTTTCTCTTAGGTTAATGCCATCAGGTTATAATAATAGATGAAATAATTTGCATTTCGTAATTTTCACATTTGGGGAACTGTACCCCAACAGTACTTTTTTTTTTTTAAAGTCTATCTATTTATTTCGAGAGAGACACGGGGAGAGAACGAGCAGGGGAGGTGCAGAGAGAGAGAGAGAGGGAGAGAGACCACAGAGCCCGATGCGGGGCTCGATCTCATGAACTGAGCTGAAATCCAGAGTCAGATGCTTAACTGACTG